GCATTAATCGAATCAAAAATTAAAAAAACAATTTTGACTGTACGAAATGGTCAAAATCTCGAGACAATGCAATCCTGCAGACACTGAAAAGTAATGATCAGAGTATGAGATCACACATCAAAGCAAACTGTTACCATCTGGCGTGGGGGTGTCAGTGCTCGACCTTGTGTTAAAAAAATACTGTTAAATCTTGCTGTGCGCCTCGGAGCAATTAGTTATAGGCGGAACTAATTTCGCTGCTGGCATATGAAACAAATATGAACCCGATAACAAGCTAGCATTGGCTTACGCGCCGCTAGCGATTTGGAAACAATAAGTTAGCTTGATTTTTGGCCAATGATTCATCTGACAGAGCCTAGCTGGTAACGACATATATAGCAAGCATTGGTCGCCGGTAATAAAAAGAGGAACGGTATTTTATCTCTGAATTTCTTAAACTGATCTTCCGTTCTCACTGTTCCATGAAGACTGGAATTATGCAGGACTGTTCAACAAACAAGCTGTCAGCACAACGGCCTTGACGCCGATCAGACATCAGCTACGGCGCCGCTGACCCTCTTTCCCTGCTGTACGTAGCACGAATAATCAATCACCTCGCCTTTACACGACTATTTTCAAGTCTAAATTCACTTTCCGAAATATGCTAACCACTGTCAAGATGAAGGCATTAATGAACTAGAAGCACGAATGGCTCTACAACTAAGTCCATATCAAGGAAACAGGTATCACCATTTTAGAAAAGAGAAATACAAATATGTGCAGTCATACAAGGTGAAACAATTGAACAACAGTTTATGAGAAAATGGCATATGCAACAATGACGAGGTAGAAGGCAAACGACGGATCCTTTTGTAATCACGGCAGAATGCAAAATGAGTTCTGCAATGGGCAACACTGTGTTACCCTAAAACACGAAACAGATTGCCGGTACATCAGCAGAATTTTGCTGAAAGGAATGTTTGACAGAAATAATGGCACCAACCTGAAGAGCGACTTTTCCTCATTTATTAATAACAGACTGTCAACTTCAAGCCAAGCTCGACCTCCGGTTGTTCTAAATATGACCTCGAAGATTTGACTTTTGTTAGATCTGGTTTTACAACTCCACCTAGAAAACGAACCAAACGTAGCTCGAACCGTCGGTAGCATGTTAAATAAAAACCATGTTATGCGTCATCCCGTAAAAGGATTAAAATTATGGAGGTAACTTTGCAACAATTCGGCGATAATATTCAGGGCTACCTGTCAAGTCATAAAACGCACAAAATAAAGTGAACTGTAGCTAGTAGGTCTTCTGATTCCATGATTAACAACAGTTAAACAATAAAAATATATTTACAACTTTTCCAATGTTTCTACCGAATTGGCATCGGTCATCATCAGAAAAAAATCAGCAACATGAAAAACAACTGTTAAGTTTTGCTCAGAAACACAATCGTTTTCAATTTTGTTCATTTTCTGATGATGATCGATGTCAATTCGGTAGAAAGGGGTTGGAAGAGTTGTAAATAAAATTTTGCTTGTGCTTCGGCTGCCAGCCAGCCATCGAATCAGAAGACCCACTAGTATCAAGTCATCCACAGCACGGTACCAGTATGAGCCTTGGAAACTATTTAAAGTGAACGAAACGAAATTAAATATGAACTCTGCTGGGTAAGGCGAACCGCCACCGTTGGTAGCAAGCGCTGTTTCGAATATTTAACTAAGGATTTTGTCGTTCCTTTAGGAAAACGCTGCTCAAATTAAAACTGCAGGAAATGGAACTCGACCGCCGACAGCTTTAGCACGCATAACCGCGATGAAAGTCAGTTCATGCTTAATCTTCGGAAGGTTAGAGTCCATTTAAAGTTTCAGTTCAGTGTTAATGAAAATTCCATTTGATGTTTTAGTTCTACAATAAATGGATTTTTCATGTCTTTTGCCTCCCTGAGGTCAAACCGCGCAATGCGATGATGATACTATATCAAATGGGTATGCCAGTTTAGATAATGCAGCTCAGTCGGCTTTAATGAACGAACTAGCTGTACAATTTTAAATAAAATTACTGCCATTGCTCAATGCACCTGTCGCATCTTATCCAAAACTTCAATAGAGAATGCAACAACTGTAGTTCATTTTGCGAACTTTAGTTCGCAGCACTGACAGTTTTAATGAATGATGCTATCCCTTCGGCTGCAATCATTCTATACTGTAATGTTTCGTAAATCTATTTTTAAAGTTTCTACTTTCTTCGAACTATATGGCATTATATACAGCGTTTCGCGCGGTTTATGCTTTATTCTGATAACGAGTAAATTGGCCATGCTAAAAAAGCGTTCTTTCTTGAATAAAGTCTTTTGATTTTTGGTTGATTTCTTGTTTACAGCAACTGAGCTGAAATGCACATACATGCTTTCAGCTGATTTCTTGGTTCCTACCGTTAGCTCCATGCATCTTAACAAATACTGATCTTCCGTTGATAAGATAAGCTGTTGCACTGTCTCGGTCTAAGATCAGAGCCTGCTATCCGATTATCCGACGCAAACTTAAAGCTTTATGTGCGATTCGCAGTCGAAGCAGTCGAAGTGCGCTCTTTCAGGCTCCATACCAGTGATTTCAGACCAGTTTTCGACCAATGAAGAACCTGGCGAGGCGTCAAAAATAAATTTAGGACAATACGCAGTTCTCAAAATTATTGATCTACCGATACTTCACGAATAACACATAAGTTAAAAGTGGTCGTTCGTTATTGTGCTTGCTGACCTGCATCTCCGCTAGACCGTTTCTATATAAAATCCAGAAGAACTTGTTTAAGAATAACGAGAATAAACAAGCCATGAAAAATGAGCATGATATGACAGGTGACTGACATGATAACCATGAGCAGATCCTTCTTCAGATTGGAAGATAACAATTGCGATAGCTTTACAGCGCGCGTTCAGGATGCCAGAAAAATGACGGGCAAGAGAGATCATCGTGGCAAAATTATATGGACAATAATCAAGGGACAGATAGAGGACGAAAGGAATCGATTATATCGATCAATATTTTTGTCGCGCCGTGGAATCAAGCCCATAGAGCTTGTGACTGACCGACGTCCGGAACCTGTGAAGAAAACCTCCCGAAGTTATTGTTCCCGCGATCCGAAAGGAATCGCGGCTCAAAAAACGAGTCCTTATTAATCAGGTACTTCATACTTTGATTCACAACTTCTCGGGAGATAAAAAAATTCGTCAGTCAAATCTCAGTAGTATAAGGCATATCTCAAGCGTATTTCCCATTATAAACATTCTGAAAGAACGCCTGCTGGTAAATCTGGAAAGATGAATCTATGATCGAGAGTGTTAAACAAGAACGTTACACTCTACTCAGGGAAGAGACACGAAATTCGGCCTTCTATGGAACATCGGAGTGAAACGATTGGAGAAAGGAGAAAGAATTCGCGCTGTGAAATGACTATAACCAGTAGGAAGAGGATTTGGTCTAAAACTTTTGCAGTTCCAAGAAGATCTAATTTAGGCTTGGATTACTGGGCTACGACAAACAACCAAAACATCGTTGAAAGAAGATATTCAAAGGTTCCCATCCTTCGGCACGAAACGTCCTTGACATGTCGCAACAACTTCGTGGGTCATCAACACCAGGTGGAGAAAGAGATTAGCTGTAACAGATGTTAAGCACGTTGCCCTCTCAAAAGTAATCTCTTCATTCAATTTTCTGCCTAACACTAAATGTCAGCAGTGAACACATTAGTTGCTGACAATTTTTTTCTTATTTAGACTGGTAGAGGTACTGTAATTTTTGGGTTTTAAATTTTTCCTCAGTACGGTTTTAAGTTGCGCTTCTGTTAAAGTGCAATATAATGCAACGCCTATAAGAGAGAATTGACAGGATGAATTAGCTACAAGTGACGTCGACTTAACATTACCAGGTATGTTCAGTCACGCAACGGAAGAACACAGTAAATGGGAAATCGTTGGAGTAAATTTTTAGACTTACTGCAAATTATTAATGCATTTTTCATGACTCACATCTTGTTATATTGATCGTCCCAATCTACCTCGAAAATTATGGGGAAACTGCTGGATAGTTTGAATTTTATATGATGCGTCGGGGTCAAACGGCTCAGAACCGCAGTTAACACATTCTTAACGTTAAAATTTATTAATATTATATTGATGCTCAAAGAAATCATAAAGAAGTCATATACCGCTGAGCCTCGATTCCATGATCTCACATTCGCTTGAAAGTGGAATGAAAAAGCCACTGAACAACTCAGCTGTTAGAGTGCCCGAAAAATTAACTTACCGACAGACCTATAACAGACCTATTACAGACAGATACTGAAGTAAGCCTGAAATTCAAGACTAGCACGAAATCAGACTTGCTTAAGAGCAAACTGAAATGACTTACCTGAATTAGAAATCAAGAAACTGTCTTTTAATTCTCTCACCTCGCGGTTCGCAACTGACTGGAAAGTGTTGGTAGTCTAAGTCGTCCACTGAATCATTGAGGCACTTCCATATGGAACTCAGCAGTGGTCGTACGCTCGCTTCCGTAATAGTGCTGTCATCGAATTCACCGCCAATAGAGCATACGCCCTCGTCTTGATCGGTCATGTTCGTTGTACACAGTGGCTTGTAGTCCTTCACATCAGACCAGATGTACGTCAGATTCTAAAGCAGAACAGATTTTTTACTTGTGTAGGATGGATGGGAGACGAGCAGGTGAAACGATGCGATACCTGATGCTCGATGTCTTGCGCAAGCACGCCGCCGTTAACTGACCAGCTTGGCTCGGCAACAGCAGACACGGAGCAGTGCTTCTGTGGGAAGTTGATCATGCGGCTACAGCAAAGTTGAATGTGATCGGGAACGAACTGCGGTGATGAGCCGGAAACAGTGC